TAATTATTTTAAAATTAATTTACTATCAATAAGTTTATTTTATTTTCAAAGTTAGATATTCAATATTTTTACAAATAAAGCTTCAGTGACTCAATTATCCCATATAAAAAAACATGTTGTTTGTTAATTTAACATAAATATCAAAAAATTTAAAAATGTATACCCCTTCGTATCCTCATAATATAAATAAAATTAATATACAAGATAACAAGATACGAATGTAAGTGATTAAAACTATTGAGTCTTAAAATGTCTAAACTATCATAAATGAATGAAAGTAATAAGTAGGTACTAAACATTGGTATAGATATTCCGTAACATTTAAATATAAATTGAGTTGTTATTGTAGGTATTATGTTATGTGGCTGAATAGATATGAGGGTATAACAAAATTGAACTTCAAAATCAATATTTTTTATCTCACATCCCAGAAAAAAAATGGTTTAAAATGTACGTATGCGTTAAGACTCAAGAGTATAAGAACTACTGATCGATGCCTAGTTGTAAGTTCAAAAGCCTACCTAGACAAAGAGTAGAAACGATTGTCGAGTTGTGGCGTTTGTGTATATATTGGCATACGCTCCTGTAAGACATCTTGTCGCAGGGACCGTTGCCAAAAATCCCAGTCTCGTAAAAAGTCATTGAAAGGACCTTGGACGAAGGACTCCCCGAGGAAGTGAAAAAATAACAACAACACTGTACTACAACTTTGCAAAACCACGGACCGAGCCCGCCCTTCCGACGATAAGCGCCCAGCTCAGTGGGTACTGACCTGGTAACATTGCAGCATCCTGTCCGAGCCCCGACGGACGGCGGCCGTTTCCACCGCATTGTGGTGACGACTTCTGGACAAATTGCACACGAGTTTGTCGATACTGGCGCGAACGCACAACCGAGCACCGGACGTTATACGCGAAGCCATAGCACTGTACTGGACGTGTTCAACAACATCGGCGACCGAACGGCAGCGACTTGTTGGTCAGCCCCACACACGGACACTGATCGACCGGCGACTGTGGCCGCCACTCATAACGGAACAATCGTGCTGTACGTCGGGGAATCTCCGCGGGCCGTTCGCGGTGGTATTTCCACCTTTTTCCTACCAAACGTCCGACCGACCCGATATTATCACGGACTTGCAGCAGCAGCACCAGCTGTTCGCCAATGCGTATCGTTCGCGGGTGACCGGTGACCGCGATAACGGACACGGTTGCCAACGCGACGACGCTGCTGAAGGGCAGCCACAGGCACCCCCGCCGTTCCAACGACAACAGCTGATGTTATGTTGATACTGTGATAATCACTCGCTCAGTAGCAGCAGCTGATTTTATTGTTATTGTTGTCACCAACAAGAGATAAAACGAAACAAACATGATTAAAAACAACGATAAAAACGGATAAGACAAAAAAATATATTGGAAAAGTCGCAATTTGCTTGTTTGCACGACAGTCGACGAATGTCTCGCACCGTGCTCGATGGTTGGGTGACCGTAATTGTTTACGATCTGCGCTCGCCGTTGTCCGTCGAACGTTTAACGCTTGAGAAAATATGATTTGATTTCGTCGGTATGGAACGACAAAGGCCAAAAACTCGCTCTCCGTCTGAGACCAAACACCCGGCCAAAGTATGTACGACATCTGCATAACGGTGTTATTTCCGAAACGAAATCAGAATTAAGAAGCCTTTCATCCTTTGTATTTGTATATTATAGTTAGGTAATCAATTTACGTCTAACAAACAACAGTTTAAAATGTGAAGATGAAAAAAACGTGTCCTCGTATTTTTCTCTGTCTGAGTGGTACTTGGCTCACAGTTTTCCGGTTCATTTGGTTTTTCTATCAAGGCCGTTTGATCCTGTTGTAATTCTATACAGACTTGCCCCTTTGTTATGAACTCGTTATGTAATGTGTGTATATTATACATTCTCGTTTTGTTACAGTAGGTAACTTTATATTTATGTTTACCAGTTGGGCATTTTAAATGAAAAAAATCCGATTTTTCCAAACCTTTGAAACAATGTTCATAATGTGTACGCCTGTTGATTATTCACTCGTGAAAATTTTGTTTCCTGTTGACATTTATTCAACAACTTTTAATTCTGTTTTATTACCTATCTAGAATATGGTATTTATGAACAGTATGATAATATTATTCAGTGGTGTCATTTTAGTTTTTTATAAAAGAGATCGAAAGTTTTAACCAGCCCAAATAATGGATAACTTGAAAAAAATTGATTACTTTACTCGCTATTAGATATTAATTATTATGTTCCTTTTCCTTCATAAAAAATAAACATTCCAACTTTCATGCACGTCCACGTATGCGTCTAAATATAAATATATTCCAACTATTAATTAGTTATTACCAATTTATCATTGTGACAATAATTTCTTAGTGCACAATATATTATTAAAAAATAGGCATGTTTTTGCATTAAGAAAGTATAATAATGGTTAAAGTGAGATATTTGAAATAGTTCTAAACATGTCCAAGCTCAGTAAACTAATATGATGAACAGATGCATATTCAAGGAGGGGCTTTGCTCTACCCATTCTCCATATTTTATCCTTTTTTGTTACATTATTTTGAGATAAAAATATAATTTTTTTATTTGAATTTTTTGTTCGTACTCCCCCTCCTCCCCTAAGACATTTCTAAATAAGTCCTTAATATATCATGTTCATAATTTTAGTTTTTTTTTCAACAAAATAAATGTTTTTTTTTTCAAACTTAATTTATAAGATAGTTATTTGAAAATCATCAAACTTGTAAATAATGTAATTTCATTTGGTCATTTTTAACAATTTTTTTGGTTGCAGATATATGTTGAAGAACCAGAACCTATAGACAATGTGCTCAATTCTTCTGCAGTGGATGATGTTGAAAATGCTCTTCACGAAGCATTCAATGATATTTTTTTAAGTACAGAACTTTCAAAAGAAGTTAATGATAGTGTCAGTTATTTAAATAATGACACTACTAAAATATCTGATACAGAGAACGTTATTGAAGAATCTACAGCTAAAAATATAACACCTTCATCTATTCTACCGATTTCAATTCCTTGCTCTGTTGGTTCATTACCAACTCCTTGTGCTCCAATATACAATGAATTATGTAGTTCACCAATTAATGAAACACCTTTTGAATCTTTAACTCCATTTAACGATGAACAACTGGCAGAATATTATCAAAATAAATTATTATTTGGATTACAAGAGTGTATTGAAGAATTTAATCATACAGAATTAAAATTTTTCCAAATTTGTGAACATCCACTTTACACATTACTTCAAGATTATTTACATGCAAGACTTAGACTTGAAAGCACTAAACAAGAAATTAAAGAATCAAAATATTCATACGCTACACATGAAAAACATATCTGGGCATTAGAACCAGCCACATATACACAGTATGGTGAATGCCAAGTAAATATTATTAAAAAATGGTTTTATTTGGATAAGTTAACATATTCTATCATCATATACACCAGGGGTGGGCAACTGGCGGCCCGCGAGCCTTTTTTATCTGGCCCGCGCTACATTTTCAAATTGCATTAGGTATAGGTATTTTAAACTTTATCGTCTATACTCTGTAATCTATAATGTAATAGTCTATACTCTATCTTATCTATATGATAATTGTTATCTGGTATTGAACATCTTTAAATGTATATTAAATCAAAACATAGAAATCGACTTACAGATGAAACATTAAGTCACCTACTTCATGTTTCTTCATCCGAAATAGAAGTCGATTTCGCCG